TGCTGTTGCACCATGAAGAAGCTATTGTGCCATCCTGGACCATCTTGGTACATGATGCGCCATATTGATTCCTTTGTTGTGCCATGTTGATCCAAGTATGCCTAAAAGATCATAATGCTCAAGAATGTTCCAGAAGATGTGCCACGGTAGATTGTGATTGGTTGACACCATTAATGGGCCTATATTTAATCTCTTTGATTGGTTTTGGAACAACTTAATTGTATGACTTATTTTTTTGAAAATGAAAATTTTTCCATGGATTTTTTGGGATGTTACAAGGTGGTATCAGAGCCTTGGTTTAAGGGATTCGGGAACACTCTTGGGCGTGACTGAAATCAAACTGAGGAATTCATATCATCGTCGTCGCGATGCATTTGATCACGAAAGCAAGAGCAATTCTCGTATGAAGACGAAGGCCCTAGGGTTTTTTCTTGCTAATTCGAAGAGAGGGGGTTTAATTTTTGGGATCCAATAACAGAAAAAATATTAATCCCTGCTCCTTTAATGTACATTAAAATGTGACACTAGTACAAAAGAGATTTGATAATGCGGTTATTATAATTTGTTGATGTGATTTTCTAACCGCACCAAAAAATATAGCATCAAAAAATAACAATATTTGTTGATGCAGTTTGTAAACCATCTTTTCATCATGTGACGCAACAAGGACTCCTTGTTGCTCCATATCCCTTCTAGGTGATCCAAACCTCTTCCAATTTCTCCAAACCCCTTCTAGGTGCTCCAAACCCCATTGACCCACGACCCATTCCTTTGGCACTTCATCAGTTCGTTTCTCTGATGATCCATTCCTCTCTCAAAAGATTCGTTCCTTTGTCTCATGCTCCATGAACCCCAAGTGCTCCATTAAGGTCCAAGTGATCAAAATGCTTCATGTGCATAATCCAAATGCTCCAAATGCTCGAGTCACATTTAACAATCTCCATCTTGACTTGGCATCCTCTGAACTCCACCTCGAACAAGAACTTCCTCTCCCTTCCATCCATTCATCCCCAAAGGGATATACCTCCTACGAATATCAACCAAGTCCAAGTAAAGCATGAACTTCTGCGTAGGCAACGAATTTATCAACATATCTTCTGGGTTGACCTTGGTATCAATCTTCAGTATTGAAAAATTGTCTCCTACCAGAATATCCCGAATGAAATTCAACCTGATATCAATATGCTTCGTCTTCTCGGCATACACAAAATTCTTTGCAAGACTCAAAGCACTTTGACTGTCAAATTACAAGACAAGTTTCTCCACCTTCATACCAAGACTCTGAATAAGCCCTTGCAACCATATCTCCTCCTTTATTCCTTCCGTCATGGACATGTACTCGGATTCAGTTGTAGACAAAGCAACAATATCTTGTAACGTTAACTTTTGACTAATTACACAGCCGAATAAAGTGAATATATAGGACGATCGCGACCTACGCTTCAACAAGTCACCACCATAATCAGAGTCAACATATCTCACCGAGTCACTCTTTGTATTTGCTCCATACACCAGGCAAACATCCATCGTTCCATTCAAGTATCGCAAGATCAACTTTATGGCTTCCTAATGAGTCTTCCTTGGATTACTCATAAACCTGCTAACCACACTAAGGGTTCGTTTGATAATTGCTAACTGGGTCAGAGCTGACTGAGTTAGAAGCTGATTGGGTTAGAAGTTCTGACTGGGTTAACTTCTAACCGAAACTTGTTGTTTGATTTTACATCCGATTGACTTTACAAAGTTACTATATTACCGTCAAACAATATTTTTTAGTAATAATTCATTTATGATTTACCATTTAACTTATAAATCTTTATGTAAAACAACTTTGTTTTAACTGGATTGTACAACTACCCTTAAACCTTTTTTGTTGCTACTATTTAGAGTTTTCCCAATCAACTTATGGAAATTCGACTCAAGGAAAAGCACTAATCAATAACATTAAAATGTATTTTAAAAAGGATAAAGGCACACACTATTGATGAAATACCAGACATCATGGTCATTCAATTTAGATCATATACATAAAGAAACAAGAGCCAACTATTTACACAAACATCTATTATTTTTTTGGAAACGACAAATGAATTAACGGAAGCCTCTACCCAATATTTCAGAGTAGACCCCGAGTTCGAGCTCCGCAAAGCGGGAAAACTCAGCCCCCATGGGATTTCGAGGGAAAATTCCCCCACATATGGGGCATATTTGCAAGAGGCGCACAAATTGTGCGTTACCGGGTTTGAAACCCCAACCTCAAACCCACATGGGGATGTAAACCCAATGCATCAAGCCAGTTGAACTGGCCATCACTTGCAAGCATCTATTATTTAAACATGCTTTACTACCAGTCTACCATCAGACTCGATATTCATTAATGCGTCTTCGTCAGCCAAAACAGATGAGATAAGGAAACTTGAAAAACATATTATATTAGACATAAACAGGGACCAAAATGTAATGTACAAAGCATTTGAGAAGAGGAAAGATTCAAACACTCAAGCGACTTTAATTGCAGAGCAGGTTGAGAAGAAGACCACCAATTCAATTTTGATAAAAAGACCACAAATTCAATAATTCTTTTGACCTTCAATTCATGCTTTCGTTTCATTTAGAACCAATCGAAACATAAGCTTATTTGACCAAGACAATTGAATTTACTTAACCAATTCACAGTTCCAATTCAACAAACACCAAACAATTAAATATAATTTTCATCATACTCTCAATTCCAAGAAAATCTAAGCAGATTTATTAGAGAAAGAAAAAGGCGATCAATATGAGATAGATCCACGATTATCTAAAAAATGTTCAAAATAAAGAATATATACAAAGATTTTAATTAGTTGAGCAATTATAAATTTGTGATCCAAAAATAGAAATAAATAACTTGAGATCAGAAACCCCAAATAAAACTAAATAGCTTGAGATTAGAAACCTTAAATCGAATAAAAAACCTTACTTTTCTTTGCAAAATCGAGAAATTGTATAGAGAGATCTCAAACCCCAAGTTAGATTCGATGGAGAGGACGGCGATGGAGGAGGTAGCCGGCGCTGGAGAGAAAGAAAGTTGAGGAGGTGATCGACGATCCTGAATACTGAAGTTGATAGAGAGAGAGAGAGAGAGAGAGATGCGATGGAGAGGATGGAGTGAACTTCGTTCAAAGAGAATAAGAAGGGTCAAATGGGAAAACGAGTTTCTCTTTCTCGGTCTATCAAGCAGAAAGCAAGGACCGAGTCCTGTGTTTTTATTGGACCGAGTCCAAATGTTGGACCGAGCCCCTACATCTATAATCCCTATCAAACATGCCAATTGGTATTTATTACAATTCTACATTGCTATTTGTAGCAATATCTTGATGCCCCTATATCACCATGTGGGCCCTACATATAAAAGAAATAAGAACTTCTGTAAAGAAAAAGAGGGGTAAAATGGCCATCCCATTTGATTAGAAGGTCACGAATCTGATTTTGAAGATTCATAATTGGATCCACCATCTTGGCCAACATGGAAGCCTTTGAATCCTATATCACCACCAAGAGAAGTTAACAACTAAAAAGTAAAAGATATAATCTAACAAACAAAAAAAATGAGATAGAACACAAGACCTTGTAGAAAGTTTAAGAATCGTTTACTTATTCTATTTTTTCCTTGTCAGCCTCGCTCAAAGAGAAACATCCTGCCAGCAGTACACACTACTTACGCACCAGTATGAAGTTGAACATTGTGAAATATATGAAGATTAAAAGACGAATATCATATTAAAAATATGTGGAAAAAAAATACTTCTTTGTGAGTTGAAAATAGTGTATACCATTGGAAAGAAATAGTGTATACCATTGGAAAGAAAGAAAGGTTGTGTAAATCATGGGAAAAGTCAAGTTCGAAGAGATGAAGATAATGCTAGCGGTGACGATGATGCAAGTTCCTGGATTAAGGGGGGGAAAATGTTGGGATAATCTAGAAAAACTGGGGCTGTTTTAGCACAATGGCATTTTTTAGGAAAGTTCCTTTTTATGCCGCTTTTGAGTTAGTTTAGGATTCAAATTTTTTTAGTATAAATAGGATCCAACGTACGGTATTTTTATTCATTTCAGAACCACGTTCCCAGTTAGGCTGCAAGTAAATTTAGTAATTCTCTGTTTTCACAGTTTTGTTCTTATCTCCTGTTCATTTTAAAACTAGAAGCAGGTCCTTTTGATTACATTAAAAGTAATCTCTTCAGTGTTCAGATCCTTTTTTTATCCCTCTCTTGTTTAAATTTCTTGTGCACAAAGGCACAAGTTCAATCTACAAGTTTACATTCATGACAATATGCATATGAATTATGATGCATGTTTGTTGATAGTAAATGGGACCGATATATAATATCCTCATTTACATGATTATTTTCTATAACTATTGTGAATAATAAGATATACGAGAGAAAGAGACTCGTCAGAAATTATTCAAGCGTTGGACAGTGATGTTCCAACTACTTTAGTCCCTTTCCGACCCTAACCCAAGGTTAATATTCATACAGGTCGATGTTGTATGAATTTAATTAGGCATGGTGATTGCGTTTAATGTTATTTAATCAATTATCATCCACAAACTGTCATTGATGGTGCTGGAAAAAAGATTTAAGAACAGATTAACAACCTACAGTGCCTCCGAAGGTAAACTTTCATCTATCTACACAAATGCATGCACACACAGCAACTATTTATTACGTCAATAATAAGTCTTGCAAATACTTATATTGGTTTCATACTATCTGAAACCATATCTATTTATTTACGTAGAGGTGACCAGTGTGTGTGAGAGGGTGCATGATATTAAATGTGTTGCATTTGTAATGGGTGGATCATTAATTCTCTCTAACTGGCATTTTGCTCAACCAACTGTATCCATCCGTTTAGTCACTTACTTTCTTAACACCCCTCGTACTCTATCATTATAGTAGATGAGAGAGAGAGAGAGAGAGAGAGAGAGAGAGAGAGAGAGAGAGAGAGAGAGAGGAGAGAGAGAGAGAGAGAGAGAGAGAGAGAGAGAGAGAGAGAGAGAGAGAGAGAGAGAGAGAGAGAGAGAGAGAGAGAGAGAGAGAGAGAGAGAGAGAGATGAGTTCATTTTTACACAGAGAGAGGACAATCTGTACATACCATTATCGGAACCATATCAAGGAGCGCATAGCATATAGCATACCAGCTTTCTTTCAACAGAATAAATTGCCATCATTAACCATGTCTAATATGGAGAAGGTTCTATTATCTACTCAAAATTAACACAATTTTCTGTTTGCTTCTTATTGTTTTAATTCAGTTATTGTCGGTTACTAGCATACTTGATGACGTTTGTCAGACGATCAATATTGTTGTCAATTATTGGCCAAGTAAATTGTGTCAGGACATCTATTAAATTAAGAACAGGAAGTTTACCATTTTTTTTATTTGTGTTTGCAGAAAACAGTGTTGTCAGTGGATCTACGTTGTTTAAAGTGCAGGAAGAAGGTCATGATGTCGATTTCATCTATAGAAGGAATAAACTCAATAGTTCTTGACCCTTCAAAAAACACAGCAACGATAATTGGCGAGGCTGATCCTATATCCATCATCAGAAAGGTGCGAAAGTTTAAAAGATTGGCACACCTAATAAGCGTGGGACCTGCGAAGGAAGAAAAGAAGGAGGAGAAAAAAGATGAGAAGAAAGACGAGAAGAAGGATGGAAAGAAAGACCAGAAGAAAGATGTTGTGCTTCCTTCAACCACAAGAACATGCCACAGATGCGATGTCTGGTACGTCGTTAATCAAGATTACGTTCGTCCTTGTGAAATATTGTAACCACTGCTCCAGTATCTTCAGTAAAACAGTTCGCCTGTTGATGATATCATTTGTTGATATATTTGAGAATGGGATTGGAAGCTCTTGATCTTTATGGGCCTTTTCTTTGCACATGACTGTGCAGCACAGGGTTGCCAAATGAGATAATCGTGTCATGTTTTCAGCTAACACTCGGCCTTACCATTTCTAAAGTGCCCCCATTTAATCCAAGAATTTTATACATATGCTCATACTCGGCTACTCCTTTCACAGTATACTACCCACGCCGTATCAAAAATATATTCATCAGCCAAAGTTGATTATATGAAAGTATCGATTCTTCGTGTCACAAGTGAGAACCAGTTCCTGTTCTTATTCCTTCTCTTCTCTGAATCTCGATCCTTGAAAGTTGAAAATCAAGCCTTCGAAAATAGCTTCTATTCTTCACGTCTTCTTCTCTTCCTAGTTCCTTCTCCGTTCTCTGATTCAATATTGATTGTCCATCCTCTGAAAAATACCTTCCGATTCTCCATTGTTAGTTGTTCAAAAGACTCAAAATTCAAGTCTTCAAGGCTATCAAGAAGACAATTCGAGAAGAAGTCAAGAATTGAATTACTGAACCCATATGTGTAGGTTGCCACTTTCCAGTTTTAAGTAATTGACTTTTTCCATTATCTGATTATGTATTAGGGATAAATAATGGCTAATTTTAGGGGTTTTTTTTCAATTATCCATTGTCTAATTATGATTCTCAATTTTTGAGTAATTGAGTTTTCCATTAATTGATTATGCATTGTCCTGATTAAGGTTGGAACGAATTTGGTTGGAAGTTGAATTTTTCATTATCATCTATTTTCAAGGTTGTCAAGAGCTCATCAAGATGTGTCTCGGTTTATCTTTTGTTGATTTGTAGCTGCCTACTTGTGTTGGTTCTTTTCAATTGAAAAACATTCAGCAAAAGAAAACGATTATGAAAATTTTATTAAAAAATTTGCATCTAAAAACCCTAGAAAAATTAACTTTGTCCTAAATATAATCACTAAAAACATATACATAATAATAATAAAAATTAACTCAACCATTTATAAAATTTTTAGTTTATTATTGTCGGTCCCAAGCCCAGATAAAGAAAGATGATTTATAACATTAATTATAGTAAATGTCAAAGGGCTTCAAATTTTTGGTTTAGAGCCCCAAAATTAGTTGAGTCGTCCCTCGCTAACACGACATAGCTAACACGACATGACATAACAACTTTTTTTATAACATGAACACGACACCACACCATGTATTCTAATTTATGTTATGCGGTCAAATCAGTGAGCAAAAAGTGATTTTGTTGCTATCCAAAAATGAAGAAACAGGGGAGTGGAGGAGCTACTTGTTCTTAATATTTAAGAGACAAAATACAAAGGTAAATATAGGTGCAAGAAACCATATGTTTCTATTATGTTACAACTTCAATTTGATATGAATCAAATTGGAAAATGGAGACATATGTCAGTGGCTGATCCAGCCCGAAAGTCAAAGGGGTGCATATTGACCATTAACTATTAAACATTGACCATTATTGTGTATTAAAGTCCAATTAGTTTATAATGCAATATTATTTTCATAGATATAATTTTATATGTGTAACATCCTAAAAACCATACGTCAAATCATAAACTGATCGTCATATCATAAAAATCATACGTCAAATATCTCAACTCATAATAGTCGTGAAACAACTGTATCAAATCAAACTATGAATCAAAACAAACTCCCAAGATAAAGACTGAAGCTGTGGTGTGTGTGATGCCATCCTCCCGAGCTCTTCCCTTTACTTGCAGAAGTACCTGAAACCAAAACTGAAACTGTAAGCACGAAGCTTACTAAGCTCCCCCAAACTACCACATACCATACAATAACATATAAGCACGTACTGGGCCTTGCCCACTGCATCGGACCGTAGTCCGGAACTGACTGGGATCTTGTCCCCTGCATCGGACCGATGTCCGGAACTAGCTGCATCGGACCGCAGTCCGGAACTGACTACATCGGACCGAAGTCCGGAACTAACTGATCATAGCATAGCATAAACACATATCAACCAGCATAACACACATCATCATAAACTCATATACTGCATACTACGTCAGGCCGTAGCCCAGAACACATAACACAAGTGAGAGCCAGTTCTTGTTCTTATTCCTTCTCTTCTCTGAATCTCGATCCTTGAAAGTTGAAAATCAAGCCTTTGAAAATAGCTTCTATTCTTCACGTCTTCTTCTCTTCCTAGTTCCTTCTTCGTTCTCTGATTCAATATTGATTGTCCATCCTCTGAAAAATATCTTCTGATTCTCCATTGTTAGTTGTTCGAAAGACTCAAAATTCAAGTCTTCAAGGCTATCAAGAAAACAATTCGAGAAGAAGTCAAGAATTGAATTACTGAACCGATATGTGTAGGTTGCCACTTTCCAGTTTTAAGTAATTGACTTTTTCCATTATCTGATTATGTATTAGGGATAAACAATGGCTAATTTTAGGGTTTTTTTTTTCAATTATCGGTTGTCTAATTATGATTCACAATTTTTGAGTAATTGAGTTTTCCATTAATTGATTATGCATTGTCCTGATTACAGTTGGAACGAATTTGGTTGCAATTTGAATTTTTCATTATCATCTATTTTCAAGGTTGTCAAGAGCTCATCAAGATGTGTCTCGGTTTATCTTTTGTTGATTTGTAGTTGCCTACTTGTGTTGGTTCTTTTCAATTGAAAAACATTCAGCAAAAGAAAATGATTACGAAAATTTTATTAAAGAATTTGCATCTAAAAATGCTAGAAAAAATAACTTTGTCCTAAATATATTCACTAAAAACATACACATAATAATAATAAAAATTAACTCAACCATTTATAAACTTTTTAGTTTATTTTTGTCGGTCCCAAGCCCAGATAAAGAAAGATGATTTATAACATTAATTATAGTAAATGTCAAAGGGCTTCAAATTTTTGATTTAGAGCCCCAAAATTGGTTGAGCCGACCCTGGCTAACACGACATGACACAACAACTTTTAAATAACATGAACACGACACCACACCATGTATTCTAATTTATGTTATGCGGTCAAATCAGTGAGCAAAAAGTGATTTTGTTGCTATCCAAAAATGAAGAAACAGGGGAGTGGAGGAGCTACTTGTTCTTAATATTTAAGAGACAAAATACAAAGGTAAATATAGGTGCAAGAAACCATATGTTTCTATTATGTTACAACTTCAATTTGATATGAATAAAATTGGAAAATGGAGACACATGTCAGTGGCTGATCCAGCCCGAAAGTCAAAGGGGTGCATATTGACCATTAACTGTTAAACATTGACCATTATTGTGTATTAAAGTCCAATTAGTTTTATAATTAGTTTATAATGCAATATTATTTTCATAGATATAATTTTATATGTGTAACATCCTAAAAACCATACGTCAAATCATATATTGATCGTCATATCATAAAAACCATACGTCAAATATCTCAACTCATAATAGTCGTGAAACAACTGTATCAAATCAAACTATGAATCAAAACAAACTCCCAAGATAAAGACTGAAGCTGTGGTGTGTGTGATGCCATCCTCGCGAGCTCTTCCCTTTACTTGCAGAAGTACCTGAAACCAAAACTGAAACTGTAAGCACGAAGCTTACTGAGCTCCCCCAAACTACCACGTACCATACAATAACATATAAGCACGTACTGGGCCTTGCCCACTACATCGAAGCGAAGCCCGGAAACTGCATCGGACCGTAGTCTGGAACTGACTAGGACCTTGTCCCCTGCATCGGACCGATGTTCGGAACTAGCTGCATCGGACCGATGTCCGGAACTGACTGCATCGGACCGAAGTCTGGAACTAACTGATCATAGCATAGCATAAACACATATCAACCAGCATAACACATATCATCATAAACTCATATACTGCATACTACGTCAGGCCGTAGCCTAGAACACATAACACAAAAATCCTGTCTGAGCCACAGAGGCATCAAACACACTAAAAACTGCATTGGACCGAAGTTCGTAAACTACTACTAACTAAACGGGCAGGTATTGTGGCCTTAGACCCGTTCCTACTGGAAGGAAACTCACCTCGTAGCCTAGCTGCTAAAAGGACTGCTCCAGAATCTGTCTGTCGCGTCTCCGGTTTCACTCCGGCTACAATATCCATGAGCACCATCAATCAAATATTGATAATAATACTGAGGGTAAAATGACTCTCCTACCCCTGGTCTAAGTCAACCTAGCTGTCAAAGTCAACATTCAGTTGACCTGACTCATCGAGTTGGGTCGCCAACTCGTCGAGTCCTTACTCTTACTTTTTTTATTCCACTCGCTACTACTCGTTGAGTTTTGGCGCAAACTCAGCGAGTTCCTCTTTGGTACTAACACTCCGACAATCTGCATCCGACTCGCCGAGTTGTATAAACAACTCGTCAAGTTCTCCTTCATCAGATGATCATTCTAGCTGTGACTCGCCGAGTTGTATAAACAACTCGTCGAGTCTGTTCCTGAAGTCTAAAGATGGCCTTGGACTTGCTGAGTCAAGGCATTGACTCGCCGAGTTCTTCCACGAATGAGTCTAACCCTCTAGCTCACCGAGTCCATCTCTCACTCACTGGTTCCACTCGGCATAACTCGAAAAAGGGAAAACAGGGGACTCGCGACTCGACTCGCCGAGTCAGAAGAACGACTCACCAAGTTGTATGCATGCGAACATTATATACTCGATTCTGCTTGAAACCAATCCATGCCATTAATAGATCTGGGTTCCTGGGACTTGATTTACACGTAAAGTTTCCAACTTTATGTGTAAATAACATCAAATGAAGGTTTTAAGGTTCAAATCACACTATAATAGTAGATCTAGAGCTTCCATGCAAAATGGATCCATAAAGGTGCTAGATCTAAGCTTCTGGAATTCAAACCTAGCTAGATCCGAAAGCTAATCAATTCCATGAGTCCTCTATGCTACTACTAAGCCAAGAAAGGGTTCAAGAATAGCTTTAATGGCTTCTAAAAGGGGATTTAAGCATGGAAACAGAAAAGGGCCAAGATATACCTTACTATCTTCTGAAATTCCTCAAGGATCTAGGTTCTCCTTCTTCTCCTCTTGATCTACCTTCCTTTATCTCTCAAGATCTTCAAAGAACACACTAAAATCACACAAAATGCAAAGAGGGTTCTAGGGTTTCGAGAATAGTGCTCTGAGGGGTGATGGGGGCTGACTTGTGGCCTCAAAAGTTGTTTAAATAGGGTGCAAACCCTGGAAATTAGGG